CTGGGGGCGCCGGGGCCGAGGCTGCCGCTCGAGGTGCCCCGGCCCCGCGGGCCGTGTCCCAGGCGCCGTCTCCGTCCTCCCGCAGGAACCCAGCGGGCCCGGGCCGGCGCGCAGACCTCGCTGCACGTCCCCTACGGCGACGGGGAGGGGGAGAAGCTGGACATTTATTTTCCCACCGACCCTTCTGGAAGTAGGTGATGGGCAGGCGGCGGCGGCGGCGGGGGCGAGCGGGGGGCCGTGCCCCCTGCTCACCCCGGGCTGTGCCCCGCAGCCTTCCCGGTCCTGGTCTACATCCATGGCGGATACTGGCAGTGCCTGAGGTGAGGTGGGCTGTCGGCGAGGCGATCCCTTGGGAAGGGAGCCCCCCGGCCTGCTTTTACCGCCTCCCTTCTCATGACACCCGGATTCGTTCTGGGTACTCTGGGTCTGATCGGACCCCAGAGACGCCGGCCCCCGCAGCCCAGCTGCTCTTTGCTCCCCAGTAAAGACGAGTCGGGATTCGCAGCCCCTCCGCTGGTGTCGCGTGGCGTGGCGGTGGTGGCGGTGGGGTACGACACAGCCCCCAAAGGTAGGTGCTGCCCAGCAAAGGCTGCGGCCGCCCGCGCTGGCCCGGCGCCCTCCCTCCCGACTCTGCTCTCTGCCCAGGCCACATGGACGCCATGGTGCTGCAGGTGCGGCGCAGCCTCGCCTTCCTGGTGGAGCGCTTCTCCGGGATCAGGTGGGCCGCGTGCAGCTCCTGGGGTTCCCTCCGCCCCACCACTATGTCCGCTGTCGGGCCTTCGAGGCAAAACGCACCCACAACACTCCCTGGGTGGTTTGGTGCATGGGGGTGGCTGTGGCAGCAACAGGAGGGGACGAACGAGCCCTGTGCTGTGACAAAAGCTTCAGTGCCTCGGTCTGAGCGCTGGGCAATGCCCGTGGCCGTGCTCCCTTGTCACTGCGCGAGGTGTCAGTTGATGGACTGGGAAATGTGTCCGAGCTGCCGCGTTTGGGCTGTGGCATTGGCGGCTGTGCCACCTCCTCCGCACGGAGCAGGGCGTCCCGAGGCAGCAGGCGCCGCGCCGTCGCTCCCTGCACTGGCTCATGGCTCCCTCTCTCTAGAGGTGTTTACCTGTGTGGACACTCGGCAGGGGCCCACTTGGCAGCCATGGTGTTGTCCACGGACTGGACGGAATACGGAGTGGTGCCAGATATCAAAGGTAGCACCGCCATGTCCGGGCATGGGGGCTGAAGGCGAACTGGTATCTGCACCCGGGATGAGGCCGTTTCTGCTGCCCGTACCAGGCTCCGGGGGCTGTAGAGCCAAGGGAGATGAGTTGCCCCAGTTGATTGCAGCCCATAGGCGCTGGGAGTGCAGGACTCTGGGCTCCTGGACAAGCTTTCCCCGGGGGTGTGTGTGTCCTGTGGCCACCCGCCGCTCACTGAGGCCTGGGGACGTGGGCTCACGGAGAGTTCCCACGCACAGGGCTGTGAGAGTGGCCCGAGCTGCAGGGTCCCTCACCCGCCGACGCCTCTGCCTCCAGGAGCCGTGCTGGTGAGCGGCGTGTACGACCTGGAGCCCATCCTGCACACCTACGTGAACGATGCGCTGAAGATGAGCCGGTGAGGCCACACGCTGTGGGGACAGCAACTGGGAAAGGGCACAGGCAGGCTGCGGCACACGCGTGGCTTTGGCCAGCGCAGCCTGCGGGCAAATGCCAGCGGTTCTGCAGCCTGCTCTGCCCCTGCCCACACAGCCTGCCTGCGCAGCGGGGCATCGGCTGCCTCTGCGCCTGAGCCGGGCACAGGCCCTGCGCCCTCCGCCGGGCTGGTGCGCCCAGCCGAGGACACAGGTGCTCTGCAGGCAAAGACCCCCTCTCCGAGCGAGGGGCTACGTCAGCTGCCACCGCGGTGTCTCCTCCAGGGAGGTCGCCCAGAGGAACAGCCCCATGCTGTGCGTCGCCCCAGCAGCGCCTGCAGCTGCGGCTTGTGAGGTGCTGGTGGCTGTGGCCCAGCACGACTCCCCGGAGTTTCGCAGGCAGTCACAGGAGTACGGCCAGGTGAGCTCTGGGCAGCGGCTCCACGGCGATGCTGCTCCAGCTGGCCCGCTCAGACCTGCTAAGCTGGGACGAAGAGCTCGTGTGCCGTATCAGAGCCGTATTTCTGCTGCTGTGGCGATGGCTGCTGTTGAAGACGACAGCAGCTCAGGGGAAGATGCTAATCCTTGCTGAGCCATCATTC